CTCGATCGAACGACGACGGGCTGTTATTTCGATTAAGTTTGAAATAACACCCTTTAAGGCCAAGGGCTTTCGCCAAAAAGAGAAGGGTTCGACCGCGATCGAACGATGACGGACTGTTATTTTGATAAGTTCGAAATAACACCCTTTAAGGCCAAGGGCTTTCGCCAAAAAAGAGAAGGTTTCTACCTCGATCGAACGATGACGGGCTGTTATTTCGATAAGTTCGAAATAACACCCTTTAAGGCCAAGGGCCTTTGTCAAAAAAGAGAAGGGTTCGACCTCGATCGAACGACGATGCGTTTTTATTTCGATTAAGTTCGAAATAACACCCTCTAAGGCCAAGGGCCTTCGCCAAAAAAGAGAAGGATTCGACCTCGTTCGAACGACGACGGGCTGTTATTTTGATAAGTTTAAAATAACACCCTTTAAGGCCAAGGGCCTTCGCCAAAAAAGAGAAGGGTTCGACTTCGATCGAATAATTATGAGCTGTTATTTTGGTAAGTTTAAAATAACATCCTTTAAGGCCAAATGCCTTCGCCAAAAAAGAGAAGGGTTTGACCGCGATCGAACAACGACGGGATGTTATTTCAATAAGTTCGAAATAATACCCTTTAAGGCCAAGGGCCTTCGCCAAAAAAAAAGAAGGGTTCGACCTCGATCGAACGACGATGGGCTGTTATTTCGATAAGTTCGAAATAACACCCTTTAAGGCCAAGTGCCTTCGCCAAAAAAGAGAAGGGTTCGACCTCGATCGAACGATGACGGACTGTAATTTTGATAAGTTCGAAATAACACCCTTTAAGGCCAAGGGCTTTCGCCAAAACAAAAGAAGAAGGGTTCGACCACGATCGAACGACGACGGGCTTTTATTTCGATAAGTTCGAAATAACACCTTTTAAGGCCAAAGGCCTTCGCCAATAAGGCGACGGGTTGATATTTCGATAAGTTCGAAATAACACCCTTTAAAGCCAATGACCTTCGCCAAAAAAGAGAAGGGTTCGACCTCGATCGAATGACGAGGGGTTGTTATTTTGATAAGTTCAAAATAATACCCTTTGACAAGGGCCTTCACCAAAAAAGATAAGGGTTCGACCTCGATCGAACGATGACGGGCTATTATTTCGATAAGTTCAAAATAACACCCTTTAAGTCCAATGGCCTTTGCCAAAAATGAGAAGGGTTTGACTTCAATCGAACAACGATAGGCTGTTATTTTGATAAGTTC